CTCTACCCTGGAGCTATTTCCCCAGAAGTACCCTGAGAATTTCTGCTGAAGTCATTTTGCAACTACTCTGGAAATGTAAACAAAAATTTTTTGTTCTGAAGGTTAAAATGGAGTTCCCTTTGCAGAGAAAGAAGAATTAATGTTTTGTTTGTTTTTTTTTTCTGCTCTGAAATAAAAATGTAGAATAAAAAAACTACTTGGAACCAAAGTCTAAATTATACTAGAGACAAAAGTGTCTAGGATTAAGGGATGTTTTATGGAGGTAATAATCCATTCAAAAGTATCTAACCCATCACTAGGCCTATGTAGTGCTCAGTAAATGTCAGCACCTTCCTGATTTTCATGTCTCCTCAGTCAAACTCCTCTTACTTAGAGTTACTTACTATTTCATGATAAACAACATTGCTTTTTCTCCACAGTGAACCAGCAAGCTCTGTTCTCTTTCTGATAAAGATTTTAGTAATACAAAGTCAGTTAGTTCTATCACAATTTTTTTTTCTTTATTTATCTCCTGTGTTTCAGTGTAAGGAGAATTTACTGCAGTGGTTAATGCAACATAAATCTTCACTTGTATTATCCACCCCATCAGCAAACTAGCCTTTGTGAAAATTGAAGCTAAAAGTTGTTTGATAAATGTTCCATCCTCCTCAATAGTGAAAACTGGTTTGAAAGTAATTTTTCAACCAGCTTTTTCCAAAGGTTCTGAGTTCCTTCAAGCCCCTAAGAAGTTAGAAATGATATTAAGCATTTTGATTTCTTCTCCTTTCATCTCCTGTTTAGAAATTAATGTCTTAAAAAATTGGATGCAAATGTTATTTTTCTTTTTAAGATACAAACTCTATTCATCTATCTAATTCAATTGCAACATGTTAAAAGGCTGATTCTTTGCCAGAAATCTTGGCCAATCGCAGAAAGATTTTAGTCTTTGCAGTCTAGACCTTAAGGTGTCTTCCTTCTGTATTCAGGTACAGCATGTGGAAAACAATGGATTCCAGTGCTTCTCAGAGCTTTCCTGCAGGCCTTCCCTCTTCTGCTCTTTGTAAGGTAGCAGGGCAGGGCACATCCTTGTGTTTCATAAAAAGAGCCGGTAGATTAAAAAAGGCAGTTTGAATGATGGAGGAGCAACTATTTCGAGCTCTGTCTCCTTTCACCACAGAATCTTTTAGTCCTAGGAAAGGTCCTCTGGGTTATCGCTTTCAGTGAAGATCATTGTTGCATACAACTTTGTATAAAGCCTCGCAATTCAGAAACTGTCCCAATATGTCTGCACATATGGTCGATTTTCGCTTTAACTTCACATTTCCTTGAATACATAGGCTGTGTGTATTCCCATAATGGTTGCTGAGCAATTTCTGTGCTATGGCTCAATTTCTTTCTTTCTCTTCTGCAGTCTCGTATCCTTTCTTTACACAGTAGTAACTTCCCTAAAAGGCTCATTAAAAAAAAAAAAAAATCCATAACACCATGCAAGCAGGCGCCAGGAAGTTTAAGTTTAGATAACAGACCCATCACATTTGGCTGTTGGGCTGAAACTGGGTGCGTAAATAGAATGGAATGTGGTATTATGATTCCCTTGGTAATGTGTGTGAAGGACTGCTTAAGCTCGAGCCTCACCAGCCATTTCTATCTACTGACTACCTAGCTATGTTGCATGCTCTGTTAAAACAATTTCAGTTGCAACATGATATACATGGAAGTGAATTTGGAATCTGCTTGCTTCTTCGGGTCAGTTAGGAAGTGTGGTCAGAGGGATCTTGCTCCAACTGTTTGAGTGGAGTCTCTACTCATTTCCAGAGTTCTTTTAAAAGTGATCCTGTAAGCATGCTTCTATTTTATACTTCTCATCCTTTGATGTCTAAATTCCTTTTGGTAACTTGTAGCATGAATAACAAAAACCCAGACACAGATATTGAAGATAAAGCTGGAGATCAGAGAAGCAAAGCAGCCAGCCACTAGAGAGTTCTCACCTCTTCCAATGCTCAGACCAAAGGGGTGATCCACCAAACCTCAGACTGCTTCCTACTGCACTGTTCCTCAGCCCTCTGAGTTCCTGTCTCCTCCTGGCTTGTATTCCTCGCTAGTGCTGGGATTAAAGGCATGGGATCCTAAGTGCTGATATCAACTCTGTGTGAGCTGTGTTCCTCTTTTAGACTGGATCAATTTCATGGAGCTCAGGGTGGCCTTGAACTAACAGAGATCAGTCTCTGTCTCCTGAATGCTGGGATTTAAGCTGTGTACCACCACTGTCTGACCTCTATGGCTATGGCTATCCTTGCTCTCTGACCTTCAGACAAGCTTTATTTGTGAAACAAACAAAATATCACCACAGTAAATCATTCAGCAGAGCTGCCTATGCAGATCTTTTCCCTTAATAGAGAACCATATTCATATAATATCCCCTTAATGGTGGAATACCTCAGAACATCAAGGCTACCCAGGCATGGGATAGTGTTAAAAAGTATTCATTGAGTACTGAAAAGAACACTTCCCTGTTAAGAGTACCTTTTGCTCTTGAAGAGGATACAGGTTTCTTTTAGCTCATAAACTTTATAACTCCCGTTCCAGGGAATTCAGTGCCCTCTTCTGAATTCCATGGGTTCCAGCTACACATGTGATGCACACACATAAATTCAGGGAAAATAGTTGTACATATGAAAAAATAAAAAAAAATAATTGATTTTGTTTTATCTCATATTAAATATTTACTAAGATTCTCTTTCATACTTAACGTAAATTGGGGCAAAGGACAGATAGATACAGGCTCTAATTTCACGAATTCTTCTTTTTACTAGGAAGAGAAGCATTGAGCAATTAATATACTTAGACAGAGAACTACAGGGAAACATGTATTCCTTAAGACCAGCTAATAGGACTTCATCTGAATTCTCAAATGAAACAGCTTGGAGCTTAATGTAGTTTTAGACAGTAAATGTGAGGGGCCTGGGGTACAATTGAGGAAGTATATTCCAAGTTACAGTGGAAAGTACAAAGGCTTGGGATGGAGGGAACACACTCTAATTAGGGGCCCGTTTCTAGCATACAAACTAGAGTCAAGGGAAGGATGAGCTGTAGGAGAAGAGCTCATACAGAAAAGTCCAGAGCTTGTAGGGCTCACCTACTAGATCTTGTTAAAGAATTGGATATATTATCAGAAGTATTAGAAGTCATTAATACATTTAATTTAGATGGCATATGACATGACTGAATACCCTTGACTTACTGACAATTATTCCATCTGTGATTAAAAAAAAAAAAAAAAAAAAAAAAAAACGAAAACAAAAACAAACTAGAGGGAGAAATTAGTCCATAAAGAAAAGTGCATCATGGGAGAGAGAGAATAAAGAAGACAAATTGGAAAGAGATTAAGGGGCAAAAGTCAATGTGACCTGGGTTCAATGCCCGGCACCCACATGGTACTTCCTCTTTGTGATTCTTGTGAAGGAGGATTCAGTGCCCTCTCTTGGCCTCCTGGTGTGTAGATAGAGAGCGTAGTTTGGCAAGGTTGTTCCAGTTTAAGAGGTTCAGAGGACATCTAGAAGGTAGTTGGTTATCTGAAGCTCAGAGGAGCTCCCTCACTTGCCAAAAGTATTCAGTAGTGCCGTTTGTAGTAAACGTGGGTAGGCATCATTGAGTAGACTGCAGAAGAAGCTACAAAACATGCAGGCTGTTCAGTTGCAATTCATGGGTGCTATGAAGTGTTCATTCTGTGGCAGACTATTTGCTAATGCTTGTGAAAAAGGAAAGGCTGCCAATAAATATTGGCAGTCTTCTCTTTGCCCTGAGCCTGAAGTGACGTTTGCAGCTTTGAAGAATGAAACACCTAGGATACCCAGAGAAAAACTCTTGGGGAGCTGGACCTTTGTGCTAGCCCCACGTTTCCCAGACTTTGCTTTAATCTTACTTAAATCTCTGCAACCTCAAGTTCATTTTGTTTTGCCTGTCCCTGGTAGACACATAAACTAGTTAATAAGGACAAAGCCTATATTTGCTCCAGGTATTCTTTCAAAGTCCCCTTAATTTTGAGACATTATTCCATTTGTTCTCTGCCCTATAGCAAGATATTTAAGAGTGTTTCTTGAAGAATGAACTCCTTGTTTTTAGAAAAGCAACTTTAGTTCAGGCAACACAGTCTTCCCGTGTTATAAATTTCTAATGACTTCAACATTATGATCATATTGACATCACTTGTAGAAATGAGGCTGCCCCCTCTAGTCCAGTCTTAAAATAGGACTGGATCAATTGGCAAAGTAAAACCTGTATCCTTTTTCATTCAGCTCTCACTCTTCAGAGACCCAGGGATAAAATTGGCCGACATTTTAAGAATGTTTCTTAACTGTTTCACTTTGGAGTTCACTTTAGAACTGCTGTGTGTCCTTGCTACAAATGATGACCATTGAGGCTTGTCTCCCAATTGTCTTATTGTTCATCTGTATGAATCCCAACAACGTGCATTTTGAACACGTTCCCTCAGGAAGTTTTTTTTTGGGGGGGTAGGGGTGGAGGAAGGTGATTAGAAATTAAGAACTACCCTTTGAAGATGTCAAAATTTGTTCATTTTTCTGATTAGAATTCTGAGTTGATGGGAAATTAAATAATTTTGTAAGTCAGGTTAGTTGTTGTACCAATTCTGAAGGTTAATAGCCAAGTAATTAAGAGCTCACATTATCCATATGAACTGCTTATCTTTTTGGTGATTTAAAAAAAAAATCATTGAATGGCTGTCTTTTCTGATGCATGAAGTTAAAGTGAAGAAAGACCAGAGAGGGACAGAAGAAGTGGAAAAGAGGAGATCTGTGTGGAAGAAAGCTTCTGTGTGAACGAAGAGAGCCAAACTTGGTTCCTGTGTGGTATTTTTCCATATGTGTGATACCTGGTTTGCTCTAGTGAGACTGCTCCGTGACTGCTTGTGTTGTGCTGTGTGACCACGGATGCTCCTAGTGGCATATCTGCATTTCTGTCTCCAGAGCTAGAAAAAGCATCTCCTTCCCTTTCGCTCATAGGAAGAACGCCGCGTGATTTACGTTGGTAAAATCAGATCTGACACTACGCGGACAGAACTGAGAGACCGCTTTGAAGTTTTTGGTGAAATTGAGGAATGCACAGTAAATCTGCGAGATGATGGGTGAGAATCTTCAAAATTATTTCTTGTTTAGAAGCTGACGCACGTTAAAAATTACGACCCTAAGATTACTGAGATGGGAGTTGCCAATGTAAGTGCTTTGACAGATGACATGTTGAGTTCAGAACCTTATTTATTTTCTTTCATCCCTATTTATTAATCTTTCTAGTTGAGATTTCCTGTCTCAGAATAAGTATTTAGCTGCCTGACAGGACAATCACACTGATAAATGGATGTGATGGCAGAGATGCTGGCACCAGTGATGTCTCCCACAGTGGAAAGGGTTGCATTGCAGTCCTCTGTGCCAGTGCGGCCTGACCAGCTCTGAATGCCTCTTTCCTGCCATTGCAGAGACAGCTATGGCTTCATCACCTACCGTTACACCTGTGATGCGTTCGCTGCTCTTGAGAATGGATATACTTTGCGCAGGTCGAACGAAGCTGACTTTGAGCTGTACTTTTGTGGACGGAAGCAATTTTTCAAGTCAAACTATGCAGACCTAGGTACAGTATATAACTGTTGAATGTGGAAGGGTGTATCCAGAGCATTAAGCTCAAAATGCAAGTTAGCGAGCTCCGCAGATGCCTCGTGTTAGGCCATTTCAGGATCAAGGTGCTTAAGTCTTTAAAGGGTAGATGTTCATGGACTCTGCGAATAGATGCTAAGCCATGGGTGGCATTTGTGTGTGGTGAGGGGATTGTCTTAAGTGTGCTTGTGTTGTATGCTTCTGTATCTACATTTATCCAAGTCTTGCACATGTCTATGTCTGCAGTCTGTTTTCTCACCATACCTACTTTTAGTCCTTTCCTCTAAACTCAAGCAGGGTCACTGTTTTGTGGCACAGGGTATGTCTTTCCTCCTCATTGTGTCACAAGCACCTGGAAACACTCTCATTATCTTTGCATTATACTTGAGAAGATACAGCTGATGTCCATCAGCTAAATGACCACATGCTTGCCTGAGAATAAAATAAAACAAAAGCCAAGTTTGTGGATTATTTCCACATCCTACACATTGTGTAGGAAGTTTAGCAAACAGTTGACATCTGAGAGGAAAATCGCAGTAGGAGATATGTATTGTTAGCATGCCCATTGCACATAAGGTTAAAATAAAATGCATGCAACTATTTACTTTTTCCTGTTCAAAGGAGACTCTTTAGATGAAAAGTAAAATTCTGAGCAGCTTGTTACCCATACCTGACACTATTACCGATTGATTTCAGAATTTTGTCTTAGAGTTCCTCTTGTCCTGCAGTTTTGATCATGCTATATATGTGCAAGTGTGTGCTTATAGCTGTACATATAGTTTATTTAGCATTAATGCATATATTCATTCCCTGATGTGATTTGCAAGAACAAAAATAACTCATGACGTATTTTAGTGGTTGCATACCATTTTGCTGGGTGTGTAATATCATTATAGTTAGTTGATTCATTATAACTCTATTTGTATTCAATTTTTAATTTTTGATATTATAAATAATGCTACAATGGACATCTTAATGTCCTTTCTAATTTTAATTTTGTTCCATTGCATGCCATTCCCTATCAAAAGTGTGCATTCTATCCCTTTTAATTCTTTGAGGAAGAGATGAAGAAAAGTGGCAAATGTGCATATCATGACTATTTTAAAATAATTCATAATAAGCATAAAATTAGCATGCACATCTATTCTTCAGCATTATTAGCTTTCCATTCAGAATTGCTCTGATGCAGTATAAAGACAAAAATGAGTATCAAGCACTGGGATTTCTTTTTCCCTTCCAGTACAGTTGTGTCTTCCTGGAGTAATTGATATAGGTGCTGTGCATTGTTCAGGGGGAATATGCTATAATTCACTTCACAAGCTAAATAGATAGAAGGAAACGGGAGCTGAAGCTGACTGCTGGAGAGATAGAGGCCTAGGGATGGAAATATAAAACCTGGCAAGTCATTTGTTCAAATGTTGGTTGATAAAAACAGTCAAGACAGATTGAATCCTTGAGTTTATTTGACTTATTTCCTTCAGTGTTGAAGGCTAGGGTGTTTCCAATCTCTAACAACACCTAGAGTTTAAACAAGCTACCTAGAGGGGTCTTTAGATCATGATTCATCATTGGCAGAGGGAGGACTGGATGGTATTTCCAAACTGAACTGGTGTGTCCCTGAAATATTTCAAAGAAGAATGTTTCTTCTCTGCTCCTTATCTCCCTGCCTAGCTAGCAGCCATGAAAACTTTGCCATTGCTAAGCTCACTCGTTGATTTTTTTAAGACAGGTTTGGTGCATATTGCTAGTGCATGGGCTACTCAAGCTCCCCAAAACATATCAGTGCCATCAAGGCGTGGTTGTGCTGAACATATTCATGAGGTAGCCAAAAGAGCCCAAGGATAAGAGTCACATCAACCTGTGTTTGAAACTTGCCTCACCACTGATCTTGGATAGGCATTTCAACACCATTAGCTTCTGATCATTTCTCTATACAATAATTCATATTGTTGTGGAGGCATATTAGATATGCATGGAGGAGCTGATATCACAGTCCCTGGTATAAAATAAATAGGCTATAATTAAAAGTACAAGCAAAAAGAAGTTAAAATTTAGGATTTTTTTCTATTTAAGTGGAAGAATTACCATTGGGGTCTGGCTTAGGAGTACAGTGAAAAACTCACGTGTCTTACCTTTGTTTCAAGGGAGAATTTAGATTAGATGTTTCAAGTCATGTGTGTCCCCTAAATAAAGGAACGTAACAATATACTGCATAATAAAGGAATTGGAAACTCATCAATATGTTAAAATTAAGCAAAACAGACATGATACATGTTAATTTTACCAAGACAGGAAAATGTGCTGTTATTTTAGACAGATACTACCTTTATTTTCTTCCTGTTTTACTTGCTCCTCCATATGAAATTACCCCAACACATGCATTATATTTCTCTACCACAGAAAATGGCTAATAATGACTATAATAGTACTAGAAGAAAATATAATGATTGCAACTGGTATTTGTTAGCCAGTTTTATAAAGTGACAGCGAAAAATTAATGTGACTTAATTGGGGCTATAGTGGTGAAGCCAGGATTTGAAATTTACTCTACAACTTGGAAATTTCTATCTATTGGTTCTATTTACTGTTATATAAGCAAATGACTCCTACTAACAAAAGGCTTTGATACAATAAATAAATAAATAAATAATACTAAGAAGGGGCTGGATACATTGATCAGCAGATGGAGTACATACTGCTCTTTCAGGGGGCCCAGGTTCAATTCCTTGCACCCATATGGTGGCTCACAACTATTCATAATTCCAGTTTCAGAAGATCCATCGCCCTCTTCTGGCCTTCACTGGTACATAATGCACATACATACATATAAAATAAAGTAAATAAATATAAACTTTCAAGAAGTGTTAATCAGGAAAGACAGGATGAAGACAGGGTAAATCTGTGTTAAGAACATAATGGCTTTAATTAAGTATGAGTAATACACAGAAATCATGTTCAGGCATACTTAAAATTGAATAACATATGCATAATTACTTCTTTATTTACTCAAACAGTAGATTGTACTGTCAGATAGTATATACATAGCTTTACATTTTTCTTGCTATTTATTGGTAAATAACTTCCAGACCAATGTGAATATCATCAGCTATGGTTTTAATAGTATGTGGGTGCCTGAGATTAATGTATCCATTAATAACATTACTTTGCCTATCTACCTGCTGCTAACAGTTTTCCAAGTGCTAAGAATACAGATGTGTTTTTTTGTTTGTTCGTTTGTTGCTATTAATGCGGAGCCATTATTTAAAACAATTTCTTTTGAAAATAATGAGATTGTTTTTTAGTATACTTGCACATTTTTTTTCTATCATATTTTATTGTGTTCCAACATCTCTTCAATATGAGGGGGCATGTTGGAATTCCAACTATCATCTCACACAGGGCCTGTCTCACAGGAAAAGCTCTTTTTTCATGTCTATTAAGAGGCATAATGTGTGTTATTGTTTAGGTAGGTACCTATATGAAGTCCATCACAGTAAAGAAACACTTGAGAAATATTATCTTACACTGTCTATTGACCATTTAGTAATAGAGATACACAACATTAAATTCTGGATTAATACCCTTAGGGACATCCAACATTAGGTGGCCGAACTCTGAATTCCATCCATGAAAAAAAGAGTAAATTCCACTTCCTAGCCCCCTAATGTCTTTTACCTTACACATTACCCCTGAGCTATATCCCCAGCCTAGCTAAACGTGTCTTCATGTTGGAATTTATGCTTCCATATTCTCTACTCTTGCTCTCCCGTCATTTGGATTTTTGTACTGTAACTTAGCTTAGGAAAAAATGTGAAATGCTTATATGGTTAGTAGAATTATTAATATTTTTCTGAAAGTTTTTATGTCCCTTCAAATACTTTCCAAGAAAGTAATTCATTCCCAGGAGACTTTGGTTATATATCCAAGAAGCTTTTTCTCACTTGTAAGACCAGCATATACTATCTACCTTTTTTGTAGATATAAATTGAGAGAGGCTAGAAATGTTTAACAGTATTTTAGTTTACACAGGTGTTTTAAAAGAGTTATTTGAAGTAATGTGAGAGTTTGCATAAAATCTGATTTGAACCAATTGAAAAATCCAAGACAATCTAGAATGATCTTTGTCCCTCCAAATCAACTGAATTTTATGCTCAACAAAGTTAAACCCATTGAATGGGAAGATTATTTCCATATTTGCCTGTGCCATTCCATCTAAATTATTGGGGAACCGTTGAAAAATCACTTAAAATGCCAAGACAGGAGAAAGGAGGCCATTTATAAAGCTATTAAATATTAAAGAAATATTGACATCTACTACTCTGAGATTTTAGGTATACAATGAATCAATAGGTTTTGGTTTTTGAAAGTCAACTACTCCCGTCTATATTTACATGTATATGTTCAACAAAATTCAGGCATTGTTTTTAAGTACATTGATTCACTGTATTACAATTGAGCCAGGTGTCTTGAATTGCATTGAAGGCCACCAGCCAAGGGTGCATCTAACCTAGTTTGGGTTTCTTTCAGATTCAAATTCAGATGACTTTGACCCTGCTTCTACCAAGAGCAAGTATGACTCTCTGGATTTTGATAGTTTACTGAAGGAAGCTCAGAGAAGCTTGCGCAGGTAACATGTTCCCTGGCTGAGGATGACAGAGAGATGGTCAATACCTCAAGGGACAGCGTGTCCTTTCCCAAGACTCTTGCAAGTCATACTTCTCCTACTTTACACTCTCTGTACAAAAACAAAACAAAAAAACAAAAAAACAAAAAACAAACAAACAAACAAACAAAAAAAACAAATAAGGCAAAACAACAGCAACCATACTAGAACCAGAACAACAACGGTTTACATGAACACAGCTGCTGGAGAGGCAAGAGATGGAATGATAACCCAGTAAGCACACGTTTATTCACGGGCGTCAGCTTTGCTTTCCCTGGAGGCTCTTGGTGACTCTGTGTGTGTGTGTGTGTGTGTGTGTGTGTGTGTGTGTGTGTGTGTGTGTGTGTAATTGTTTGGGAAATACATGTGTGCTCATGTGAGGACTTGGGGGCACCTGACCAGAATGAACAAGGGCAAAACCCTTCAAATGGCAGCATTTCCATGAAGACATACTAAAAACCTAGAACTTCAAAATGTTCATATTCTATACAAAAGGAAAATAAATAAATAAATATATATATATACATATATATAAACATAAATTAAAAGGAAAGAAAACTCACAAACCACTCTAAAATGACATTGCTGATGTCTGCGGTCAGCCTCCGGTACTGTCTTTCAGAAATTGCAAACCCAACCTGCAGCAAGCTCTCTCTCTCTTAACTGTAATGATTATGTGACAATCCCGAAGACACTACAGGTTCCATAGAACTACTATTCTCTCTCTCTCTGTCTCTCTTTCTCTCTCTCTGTCTCTTTCTCTCTCTGTCTCTGACTCCTACACTTTGTATCCCTCTTCCTCCCTCTCTCTTTTTGCCTTGGAATCTGGATGGGAGAGGGTACTGCAGGCACCAGATGCTAAGCTTTCCTAACATTTTGAAGTTTTCTGTAGTTCGTCCTTTGTCCTGACACCTGTGTATATGTCCAAAATGTTGATCTTCCACTGCAAATTTTGAAAAGCCTTGTCATTGGTCAAGAGGGGAGTGTGTTCGGCAGTTCCTTCTGAGGAGCAGACATGGTGTTACGTGACTACTGAGAAATGAGTAGAACTCTCTGGATGTGTTCAGATAGTGTAATTGCTACATTCTCTGATGTAGTTAAGTATTTACAGATGTTAAATGGAGTATTTTTATTTTATGTACATACTCTACAACTATGTTCTTTTTTGTTACAGCTATGCACTGTAAATGCAGCCTTCTTTTCAAAACTGCTAAATTTTTCTTAATCAAGAATATTCAAATGTAATTATGAGGTGAAACAATTATTGTACACTAACATATTTAGAAGCTAAACTTACTGCTTATATATATTTGATTGTAAAAAACAAAACAAAACAAAAGACAGTGTGTGTGTGTGTGTGTGTCCGTTGAGTGCAACTACAACAAAATGACCTTCACGCACATCCATCCCTTCTTACAAGCTTCAATCTAAGCATCTTGTCAACAAAAACAAAAACCCTAGGCCACTAAAGGTATTAACCACTTCTGCGATATTTTTCCACATTTTCTTGTTGCTTGTTTTTCTTTGAAGTTTTATACACTGGATTTGTTAGGGGAATGAAATTTTCTCATCTAAAATTTTTCTAGACAATATCATGATTTTATGTAAAGTCTCTCAATGGGGAACCATTAAGAAATGTTTTTATTTTCTCTATCAACAGTAGTTTTGAAACTAGAAGTCAAAAAAAAATCTTTTTAAAATGATGTTTTGTTTTAATTTTTGTGATTTTAATTTGATACAAAATGCTGAGGTAATAATTACAGTATGATTTTTACAATAATTAATGTGTGTCTGAAGACTATCTTTGAAAGCCAGTATCTCTTTCCCTTGGCAGAGTATGATGATGGTATTTAATCTGTATTTTTTACAGTTATACATCCTGTATAAATACTGATACTTCATTCCTTTGTTTACTAAAGAGACATATTTATCAGTTGCAGATAGCCTATTTATTATAAATTATGAGATGATGAACATAATAAGGCCAGTGGAGACTTTCTACCCGGGGTGCATGGCGGTTGTCAGGTTGGAGTGTAAGTTTTTCATTTGGGAAACTCGGCCCTCGTAGAAGCAGTGTTCCTTCTCTTACTAGCATGGCCTCTGACATGACCATGATTTTGTTCGTAGTGACATTGCTTCTGCTAAATTTAATAATGATGATGCTGATAATAATAATAATAAATGTCAGAAAAGAAAAAAAAAACCCTCCATTTTGAGCATCAGGATTTCATCTATGTGTGGAGTTGCTGCCATGGAAGTCACTAAAGTTTTGGAGTATGTTTTTGAATTCCAAATTAAGATGTGCTTACTGTTTGGCTGACGTGACTTTTCTGGAAGATGTGATACACCTACTACTTACTTAATTGTTCTTTTCCTTTCTCTCACCCAACACAATCTTACAAAGTGGGTTTCACCCCCCAGGCCAATGCAGCTAAATTTGATGGCTGCATTCATTAATCACCAGCATATTGTGTTCCGAGTGAATCCACTGTCTGTCCTGTCGGATGCTTGCTCAAGTGTTTGGCTTATCATTTCTAAGTAGATAGAAAGCAATAAATACCTATGAAATAAAAGAATTGTGTTCACAGGTTCTGCGTTACAACAGTAACACACCCTTAATCCGCCTAATTCTTGTTCTGTAGGTTCGATGCAGGTATTTTAACTCTTTGTGAACGCCAAACTAAAGTTTACAGTCTTTCTTTCTGAATTTTGAGTATCTTCTGTTGTAGAATAATAATAATAAAAAAGACTATTAAGAGCAATAAATTATTTTTAAGAAATCAATATTTAGTAAATCCTGTTATGTGTTTAAGGACCAGACGCGTTCTCTATTTTGCCTTTAAATTTTTTGTGATCCAACTTTAAATACGTTCTCTGTTTGCCCTGGGTCATAGACATGACTGAAACATGTGGTTTCTTGTCTTACTTGTTAAAAGACAACACTGCAGATTTCATGTTGAGGATTCATTGATCTCCCTCACCCTCTGGCCTGACCAATCTTGTTATCATGAAGATAGTTTTCCTCCATGAACTTCAAATTGCATCTAAAATTAGTGAAGCTTTTGTATCTTATTCAGACACTGTGGGTAGCCCATCAAAATATAAGCTGTGTTCCTCTCTTTTCTTTTCTTTCTTTTTTTTTTTTCTTTACTTCTCTTTGGGAGAGAGCATTTCCAACAAACACATGATGCACCCCAACATCATGGGAGGCAAATTTCAGCATAGATCTATAAGACTTAAAGATGACCATGGGTCATTGCCTTCATGCTGTGGTAAGTACTGCATCTACAATTTTGGAACCCGAACTGGTGCTTTAGAAATGAGGGGTTTTTATTAAAAAAAAAATAAAGAAAGAAGAAAGGAAGGAAAGTAGGGAGGAAGGAAGGGAGGAGGAAATGTAGCAGAATAATTCTTTCTGTGCAGCAAAATCAGTTTTTGTAAAGGACTCTGAGAACTATGATGGTTGGGCTGGCAACACTTAAAGCAGCAGAGGGGGAAGTTGACACTATTGGGGTAAAGTGTTTGGATCAGTTACAAAAAAAAAGGAAATCTTTTCATGCCTTTAGATGTGAGCTAACAGTAGGTAATGATCATGTGTCCTTTTTTGATGGCTGTACTGAGAACTTCAATCACTGTAGTCTCAGATCTGTTCTATAGATGACCTAGAATAGACATGTAATATAATGTGACGATTCTAAATTTGTACCTGTGTGACAGACATTTTCCATAATGTGAAAACTGCTGATTTGATGGGGCTACATTAAGATTTGTAGGTGAAAGTGTAACCCTGTTGGCTGAACTATGCTGAAGAGGGAAAGTGAGCGATTAGTTTGAGCCCTCGCTGGCTCTTTTCCACCTGCCAATTCTACATGTATTGTTGTGGTTTTATTCATTGTATGAAAATTCCTGTGATTTTTTTTTAATGTGCAGTACACATCAGCCTCACTGAGCTAATAAAGGGAAACGAATGTTTCAAATCTACTTCTGCTTTTCTTATTTGTCGGAACCAAATTGTTGGCATGTTTCACAGATTAGTACACATCGTTGCTTATTATTCAATTTCCTCTCAGGCTCTCCCCCTTTCTCCCTGCTTTTCTGTATTAATGGATATGCTTTAGTTCTGAGGACATGGGCACCTCCCCTGTTTTGCCTAGTATTTTTTTTAAGTGTAAAAGGCAGGTGTGGTTGATTTCTATAATGAAGGTTGAGAAGGCGAGATTTGGGACTTTGACAAATGCCTTAGCTTTATCTGTGCAAGTAACCCTGAAAAGTACATAATTTTAAGGATGAGCTATGGCCTGCAGGGTTATCAAGTAAATATGGGTCATGTGCGTGCCAATGACATGCATCAGGATAAAGGCCCTGTCCTATTCATGTTACCAGGTTGTATACGGAATGGGTGGGTAGCTGCAGGTGGATCCTGCTGTTTGGCTGTCTGTTGAGCCTGGTAGCTAGTGATGGTCTTACAGATAGAAAGCACCATTATTACTACAGCCTCTCCTGATTTCATATGGTCCTCTGCACTCAGCCGTTGGCTTTTCAGGAACAGCATAAGCATAGCATTGGGAGAATCACAACTCTCCCATCCACCCCACCTCATCTTCAAGAGAAAATAACGTTTTTGAATATTGGAATGTGATGGAACTACATTAAAATGCACTAAAAGTCTGTCAACTAACAGAGGGAACACTCTGTATGGCGGTACTTTGGTTCTATACAAATAGTTAAACTCATTAATACACTTTGTCAACATTTAACATGAAAAATAGCATAATGTTAAGTCATGCAAATATCCCATTCACCTACTATTATAGATCCTAGTTATTTCTGAGATCCAGAGAGTGTATCAGAGCTGACTTTCCTTTCCAACCTCACTTACGTTATATTGGGCATCTTTTCATCTTCTGATTGGAAGTAGCCAGAATGTTAAAATAATGTATGTGCATCTGAAGGAGCTAACTACTATTCCAATAAACCTTTCTGGGGATAGCAGATAGATACTGGGAATTTTAAGCAGTCTTAGCTGCTACCTTGGTATTGGAACAACTT